CATAAACTTGACTTGTTGTGTTTGGAGGAAGAAGAATACTGAGTTGCACCATACCTACAGTGAAGCATGGGGGTGGAAACGTCATGCTTTGGGGCTGTTTTTCTGCTAAGGGGACAGGACGACTGATCCGTGTTAAGGAAAGAATGAATGGGGCCATGTATCGTGAGATTTTGAGCCAAAACCTCCTTCCATCAGTGAGAGCTTTGAAGATGAAACGTGGCTGGGTCTTCCAGCATGACAATGATCCCAAACACACCGCCCGGGCAACGAAGGAGTGGCTCCGTAAGAAGCATTTGAAAGTCCTAGAGTGGCCGAGCCAGTCTCCAGACCTCACCCCCACTGAAAATCTGTGGAGGGAGTTGAAAGTCCGTGTTGCTCGGCGACAGCCCCGAAACATGGAGGAATGGGCCAAAATACCAACTACTGTGTGTGCAAACCTGGTAAAGACCTATAGTAATTGTTTGTAAAGGTTATATTACAATGTATTGAGTTGAATTATTGTTATTGACCAAATACTTATTTTCCACCATAATTTACAAATAAATTCTTTAAAAATCCTACTATGTGAATTTCTGGATTTTTTTTCACATTCTGTCTCTCACAGTTGAAGTGTACCTATGATGAAAATTACAGACCTCTTTCATTATTGTGGGAGAACTTGCACAATCGGTGGCTGACTAAATACTTTTTTGCCCCACTGTACGTATACAAATGTTCAATATGTATTTACAAATGTATTTCTATTTACATCTCTCTGTGTAACTATCTTTTGTATGTGTTAATACATAAGAGCATATCTCCAGCATTAACCGGGTGTTAACGGTGCCCTGCAGATAATTACTCTCCGCTCTCTGCAGAATGTAAACGAGCGGCCGCTCCCTATCGCTGTGCGTCCTCTGCACAAGTTATAATTGAAACACTATCTAATAATGCTCTTAATAAGTCACTCAAGACATCACTGTAATCTGTTTCAGAGAATATAAGGCTGAACAAAATGAGCTTTTAGGCATTTTGTGTTAGAGGAAAGATTACTGGAATGACGATTATGAATATTCATGCTGGAGAACATTCAGTCTTTTTTTCAACCCTACATTCAGGCGCTGTGATTGGACAGGATTTATTCTGGTCACACTAGTGCACACAAAATACTGCTTCATTATATGTTCATGTTTTTATTCTCTTGGGTTTAGTTTAATTCTGCCAATACCACTTTTGGCGCTTATTACTTACTAGTTATTATTTACTAGTTCAGACTTTTGAACAAATTTGAGGCAAGGCAAGTCTATTTGTATAGCAGAATTTATACACAAGGCCACTCTGTATTTTTAAAACCCCCTCCGTTTATAACATAATTTACATCCACACATAACCGAAAATCTGCGTTTTCAATCACATCCATAATATTACAAACATGTGCATCCTCTGACGTCCTGTCCTATGTTGGGGGAAAAACACAGAAGTGGGCGGAGCTTTGATGCTGACGCCGGTACTTCTGTAGCAGCACTTTTACAGTCACCGAAGAAACTCAGGATACAGACATATGTTCACGAGCACTGACCCCCGTCCTCATCCCTGGTTTAATCCTGGTTCAGCTCCTGGTTCAGCTCCTGGTTTAGCTCCTGTTTAGTCCCCATGATCACTTTGCTGCTCTCTGATGTGGAGCGAGGATCGCTGCTGCGAACCGCTGCAGCAGTGAACCGTTTTTAAGGCAGTAAGATCCATGCTTCTTCAGTGATCAGAGGTCGCTCTGATCACTGAAGAAGCATGCTTGACCAAACAAACACTTCACTTATTAAAGGCTAAAACTGCAACATGTATTTTATGGAGAGAACATTATCGTAACATGTTTAAAGACTCAAATGAAAGGGCTCAAAAAAGTCTGTTTGGCTGGAGGCTGTCTTTAGCTGACCATATTAAATCCCCGACTGCTCGATAAAGCCATATTTCTCCTTTCCACCCTGCGTGTAATCCAACATGTGGTCTTATAAGTATAATCTCACCTCAGCGCCCCACAGAGCCAGATGGGCCATATTGGCTGAAGTCACCTCAGACCCCCCTGCATACACACACACACACACCTACACACACACACACATCTACACTTGCACATACACAACTCTGTCAATATCCTCAACACCACCAAGTTTCTCTCTGAGTCGCTGTCCTTGAGAAACCATCATTCTCTCTTTAGTGCCCGTCTCATCGCTCAGGCCTCTGGTGGGCTTTTTATTGGGCCGTGTTGAAAGTTGCAGTGACACTAAAAATAAGTCATAGGCTCCTAAATCATATGATTGTGTGGCCCCCGAGTGCGGATCAATGCGCTGATGTCAGTGTCCGCAGGCGAGGGACGATCAGACACGGCCGAGGGATGGTCCTGTTTTTGATGAAAGAAGAAGTCATGACGTAGATCTCAAGAAGGTAGTGATTGAGGATGAAAAGAGAAAAGACTTCCGTGAAATATTTATATAATTTGCAATTCACCTGCAAATAAGTGCAAGGAGACTTCCTATGTACTTATCCTATCAAAATTGTGCTATAGTCAGTATTCAAATGAGTGAGTGGATATGACCCGTAACTAAGCCTGGACTATGTCAATTACAGATGGATAAGTTTATTGCCAGACTCTGGAACATTTACAATTGTAAAAAAAAAATATAAAATCATAACATGTTTGGGCTAGAGACGAGGATGTTAAGATTCCCACAGATTTTTTGGGGTCATCACAGCTAAGATAAAAAGAGAATTCCTGACTTAAAATCTTAGCTATATCAGGTGGACCTCATAGAACAACACAGAGAATAGGACTAGTCATCTCAATGTAAATAGCTGCTGTTTAAATATAGAATATGTAGAGACTTATACTTAATCAGTCTCTGAAGACTGTTGCGACTCCGCCTCTTCAACCAAAGACTTGAAGGATGAGCTTGATGAACAAGCTGGATTTAACTTATTACATTGCACATTACAGTGCTCATTACATTATCTGGATAGGGTGTGGAGGGAGGCCACCTGTGGTACTGCTGCCTAAATTCATGGGCAACACAAGAAACTTTCCCATAAACCTCAATGTTAAAAAAAGTGGCCCGTCCTCATTCGACATGGAACCTACATGTCTCACAAAGGGTGGATTTTATGGGGATTGTTGTCTTCTGTGTTGTCATTAACTTTTATATTTAATTGGTTTTCTATAAATCCAAAACTTTTTTGCTACCAGCTCTCATCCCTCTTTATCCATCACAATCCATTTCTCGGTCTTGGGGGGGGGGGGGGGGGGGGGGGGTGGGGTGGGCAGTCAGAGCTGCACCCAGTACACAGTGAGCACGCAGCGCCTCACATGCTCACACCTGCCAGGTGCGTGAGTCCCCACAAGAGCTGAGATCTTTCAGCGGGGGCTTCAGGCAAAGTGGGTTAGGTGAGTCGGTTCTGTCCGCTCACACGAGGCTAACAATAACGCAGCCGCAGAATGGTTTATACATTAGTCGTTGCAGGGCAGCAGATGTGGTCGCACTCAATAAAACTTTGCATCTCCTTCTCTTTAGGTCCAACATTCCCTGGACGTGTCTACAGTCCTGCAGAGAGACCGCAGGGGAGCTCTTTAAGAGCCGCGGGTGTGACCAAAAAGACACACTTCACTCCTGCATGCCTAAACTTGGCCTTGTGCTCAGCTCGAATCCCACTCCTTTTATTTTCGTCTACTCTTATTAAGTACAAGTACCACTGAGGCTGAAGAGTGTTTTGTTTTTGATGGAGTAGATATATTCTCAAAACCTGCAGAACACAATACTATTACAAAGGTTTTTTTGAAAAAAAAAAAGCTTGTGGGAAAAATTACATCATGCTTCTTTTCAGTTCCCATATCAAGCATCTATTGAATTAATATTGTAAATTCCAATCACTAAAACTTCCTCAAGGACAGGGTACACATGCAGATTTTCTGGGGGATCGTGTGTGTTTTTTTGTGAAGGCTTCGCGCGACTTTGGCTGCTTGCTGTGGACTTCGCTTCTAAAGGTGCAAGTGAAGTTGTGAGGTTCTTGGACACCACATCTGAAAAGGAGCTTCTCTGTGAGGGACGCGATCCCGGGCCAGAGACGATTCCTTACACCCCAGACGGCAGGCTAAAGGTGCGAGAACAGCAGATGGAGAGGAAAGCAGTTACACAGGGTGAGGAGGATGGGGTCGGGAGAGGGAATTGGTATAGTGTGGGGAAGCATACAGCATAGGCGGCAGATGCAGGATACCGCACCGCAGCCAGGTTGTATAAAAACGTGGTGTTGGAGTTGCTCGATGACCACATTGAGAATTGGGGGGTATATATTATGGCAATGTAGTTGATAGAATGAATGAAAGACAAAACAGCTCAAATCAGAAGTTTTTCGTTGTTATTCAACCCCGACAGCGGTGCTTGATGTCTTTCCAAGTGTCATTGATACTTGGGTGAGAGCAATCTTTTGTTGATTTACTAGTTTTAAGAGACAAGGACACATGGGTCAGTAGTGTTAGTTTTCGAAGAGTTTTAGCGCAAGCATCTGAGTGGATGGATACCTAGTTTGGTATTTCAAGATGCATTGGTGCATAGACTACCCCAGTGAGGGCACCAGGAGAGTACACACCACTCTTGCCAATGCTGGATTAGCTGAGGGTGTTTTACTTGTAGGATAATGAAATGCAGTAGGAATACTAAAATTTTACAGTTGATTGTTTGAGCTTGATATACTCATCCACGTCCAGACAAAGCACTAGTGGCAAAGAATCAGCGATAAGCCCAAACGAACTACCATATTTAAGAGTTGGGCGTATGTATTTTTTTCGTTTGCAAGAATTATATGGCACTGAGAATTGGGGCCTTGATTCTTTCCACCCGTGTTGTTGTTGTGACAGCCTTACAAATGTAAACAATGCTCATGTGCTTCTTCATTACATCTTAGAGTTGGGGTGGATGACTGCTATCCTAGTGGACACAACTTTACAGGGATTGTGCAGATCAGCTGGCGATGGCTTTATGGAGGCTGATATATGGCCGCCGAACCAGTGCAAGGGGGGCCGGAGGTTATTGTCTGATGCAGCGCGGTGGTCCGGCGTAGTGCGCCGGCGGGGGGCCAGCCCGGGGTGGGCGGAGTGGGCAGCGCATAACCCTTTACCCTTTATCGCACAGGCGCCTTTTCCAAATATGCCCTCCGTGGAGAACGGGTGTGCGGGTTTATAGGTCCCGTGCTGACGTGCCTGTGCTTCGTTCACTGGAGGGAGTTTTAATTGTGAGCGCTAGGGGGATTCGAGGAGGTCCCTGGGTTGCGTGTGTGTTCAGGGTCCCGACGGGGGGAGCTACGGGTGGCACGTTGAACGGAGTGGGAAGCTTAGAAGCGCGGTGACAAATGTAGGATTGAGTCGCGAGGATGGAGGGCCTAATTACAGCCAGTATATCTGTATAACATGGTTTTTGGAGCCCCAACAACAAGAGGAGGAGTGGTGAGAGGTGAGTGTCATACGGAAGAGCTATGGTATATTGGGTGCGATTGTGTAGCGGACTTAGGGTAGACGGGGAGTGTTATTTTTATTTTTTTTTTTTTTTACAGTAGGAGATAAGGTGAATATTTTACATTTTGACAAACTGCTATATGCAGGTCTTTGTATAGGCTCAGAACCATTCTATAGATTTCGGGGGTGGGGGTGGAGGTATGGTGACTGGGGGGGTGGTGTGGTGTTGGGGGGTTGGGTGGGAGTTGGTTTACCTCCATGGGACGCTGGCTGCAGAGTGAAGTCTTGATACGTGAATACTACGTGCGAAAGGCGAGTAGGTGCCGAATGGAATTGAAGATAGCAGAAAAGAAACCTCCCTGAGAAAACAATGGTCGAGTAACGGTGAGTGCCGGATTAGGCAGTACAAACAGGACGGGTCGAAAAATATTTTAATAAAAAACATAGTGCTCAATGTGATCCATATCGAAAGACATAGCAATCCAGTTCGGACGGAGATCTCTCGAGTGTTGTGAGGAGCATTTAGAAAGATTTATTTGTTTGGCAGTGACACTTGCAGAGGGGATCACTGCTGCTGAGATGATCTCAGACCCCCCGGGGTCAAGCACTGGTGGTGGCTAGAAGCATTGTGTGAATGGAGCGCAGGCGGAGCAGGAGCCAGGGCAGGAGCACGAGGAAGTGCTGGGGAGGCGGTGGGTGTCAAGAGCTTCAGGAAGGGCTGGTTAGTAGGAAGTGGCTGCTTTTAAACTGCCGACTTTTCTGTTTGAGTTTGAGGTAAATTCTCCAAGCTTCCGCAGAAGGAAGAGATGCTGATGTGTGCCGTAAACTAATTAATTTGCTTTAGCACTCAAACTTTGCAACAGTAATAGTGAATACATTTGCCACTATATAAAGTGTAAAACCACACTTTTGACCAATATAATAGTGAGTCCAAATATAGTATTTACGTTGCTAATATGAGCATGACTTTCCCCTCGTAAATGCATCTGCTGCCAGTGTATCAGTAGGATCTGGTTTCCGTGGTTACGTGCCAGCGAATACACAGTACAACGAATGGACATGTATTTCATACCTTTCCAATCAAATGAAATTTGACTTGGCGAAGGAACCGACTTTCACTTGTATTTCTAAACTTACTCTGACATTTAAAATTCAATCAGTCAATAGTTATCTCTTGGTGTATTAAAATAGGATGCCAATACAAATCTTGAACCGTGTGTACACATATTGAACTGTTTGCACATTTCCTGCCTGAGTGATCTCTGAGTGTAACACACATTTCTCCTTCTTCTTTGTACATTTCTCATTTGTGAGATCAATACAGTTTTATTTAATCTTATCTGATCTTTGACAAAAATATGTTTGTTTATTATTGGTTTAGCCTTTACATTTTCTCGGCCATAGTGAATGTGTGTCTGAGTAAATCATGTGCCGTTCAAGCCTCCTCCTCTGCTTTACGACCATGATCTGTTGGCACTTTGTTGCAATGAACAAAATTGATTCACTAATAGAAATGCATAAATTACTAATCTCTGGGTAATATATCTACTAGTTGATTACTTTGGCTGAGTACCAGGAGGGACCAGGGCTTATAAAGAAAACCAATCAGGGAAAAGGAAGAAGTGACAAGGAACCTTTACGCACTTTGGGGATTTTTGTTTTACAAGTCTAAACCAGTTACAAATCATGTCTCCAAACCTTATCTAAACCAGGTCTTAACCAGGTATAAGCCAGTTACAGATCAGGTCTTACAACCATGTCTAACCAATGTCTAAACCAGGTCTAAACTAGGTCTAAACAACAATGGTCTAAACCAGGTCCAAACCAGGTCAAAACCATGTCTAAACAAGGTCAAAACCAGGTCTAAACCAAGTCTAAGCCAGTTACAGATCACGTCTCCAAACCATTTCTAAACAATGTCCAAACCAAGTCCAAACTAGCTCTGAATCAAGTCTAAACGACGACGTCCAAATCATGCTGTAACCAGGCCCAAACCAGGTCTAATCTAGCTCTAAACTAGGTCCAAGTCCAAACCAGGTTCAAACCAGGTCTTAACCTTGTCCATACAATTTAGAATCTACACAGAATTGTCACCATTTGATTAAATACAAATAAGCAGGAGTCTTGCCAATGTAATCATACAACATCAGACACAAACCCATCGGTCTAAACGACAAAACCCATTACTGCTTCTTTGTCTTTGTCACTTTCCTCGTGGCTCTTCTGACCTCATGACATCTGCTTCTATTCACTCAACATTGTCAATCGCCTCTTTACACCGCCGCAATAATCCACAGCCGAGTTCCCATGACTAATTACCTTTGAAATAATAAAGATCAAAAGCGGCGGAGTGTAATTAAGTAACCCTGACCGCCCACATGATCCGGAGGGCCTGGTGTGATTGGTTCGCCCCCGAGGGTTGGCTGAGGTGACGGGTCTTCCAATCAAACCTGATGTACAGTTGGGCAACAAAGCGTCTGCAGATGTTATTGACGGGATTGAGGTGAGGAACCCCGCAGGTATTACTTATGAAGACCACAGATCACTTTTGAAAGAAATGACACCGAGAGGAAGAAGAAGAAAAAAAGACGCCAAGGTTGTCTGGACGTCACCATGGAGACGGCAGATAAACAGAGACGTGGTTTTGGGTGAAGTGTTTTGGGAGGTTTTCAGGACCAGGAATAAATGTGATTCTCGGAAATGCATTAAGAGCTTTTCCATTACAGCTGAATGTACAAAGGGAAACAGGAACATGAAGATTGAGAAAGTTTATCTGTCCCACATGCTAAAAGTATAGCACCACTCTATACTTAAGAAAATGTCTCTATCTTAAGCCAAGCAAAGAAACAAAGCAGAAAATGCTGCATAGTCTAGTGCAGCCATTCCCAAACTCAGTAACACCGAGGCCCCCTTAAAAATCTGACGGGTCTGCGTGGCCCCCCAAAATAATAACCAAGAAGACAACATTAAGAATAGGCTCTTCTGGTTATTTTATTTTGGGGAAATAGCCTCTGCTACAAACATTGTAATACAAAAATGATTACAGTGGATTATTCAAGTCAAATAATGAACACAAATATGTTAATATTACAAACAAAACATTATAAATTTAACATTAAATAATTATATTTTTTTTTATGACCTCCCGCGGCCCCCCTGCAGTACCCTCGCGGCCCACCAGGGGGCCGCGGACCCCACTTTGGGAGACACTGCTCTAGTGCAAAAAGGTCTAATCCAGGTCAAAACTATGTCTAAACCAGGTCTAAAACAGACCAAACCAGTGCTAAGCCAATTACAAATCAGGTCTCAAAACCAGGTCCAAACCAGGTAATAGACTAGATAGACTTTAAAACAGCTCTGCTTGTGTACAAGTCTCTCCATGGCCTCGCACCAAAATATATTAGTGACATGTTAGTCCCATATGAACCAGCCCGGACTCTGAGGAGCACAGGGACTGGACTCCTGTTAGTGCCCAGAGTCAGAACTAAACATGAGGAGGCTGATTTTCAGATTCATGCTGCTAAGGTCTGGAACAGTCTTGCTGAGGATGTGAGACTGGCTGCCTTTTTCGCGATGTTCAAATCAAGTTAAAGACTTTTCTTTTTGCCTGTGCATAAATTGAAGAATTTTGTCTTTTTAACGCGCCGTGTTATTGATTATTGTAATCCCTTGTGTAATTTTTATGTTTTAATGTTTTTAATTACCTGTGTGATTTTAATTGTATTGTTAATGGTGATTTTGCCTTGCCACGCTTTGTGTTACTGTGTGTATGAAAAGCGCTCTATAAATAAAGATTGATTGACTGATTGATTAAAGACACAAAGAAGACAATTATGAATACTCTAAACGAGGTCCAAACCAGGTATAAACCAGGTCTAAACCACTTCTAAGCCAGTAACAAATAAATGGATGAATGATGAGTGACCACAAAACAATGTAGTCCTGACCCTCAAACAGATCTTGACAACTTGGGATTTGTTAATTCACCTCTGATTGAGAACAGTTTCATTAGTAATCAATCAGAGTCCCAAACAAGTCAAGAACAAATGAGCAGAACTTCTCTACAAAGTAACTTACGGAAAGTGAAATAGAGTTTCAAGTGTCGTGTTCTGCCAGTGCTTTGTAAAATACAGGTAGTGACTAATTACGATTGATTTGAAGGAAGTGATTCATTGGACTTTGGGGGATGAGTCTGTCCTTGCTCTTTTGCCATAGTTACACAATCTATCTTTAGAAACTCGATCGGGTTTGGCAGCAGGGATGCACTTTTGGAGAGTGGTCACCCGGAAATCACAAAATCCAGTCTGAAAGTTTCTGAGAGGAGGATAGAAAACCTGTGGACCTGGAGTTGTTAAAGATCTTTTCTCGCTCGTAAAACAAAGACGAGCGCTATTTCTGTCTCTGAGATTTGAAAGAGTCGACTACAAGTTTAAGAGTTGTACATAATTGGTTTGATAATTAAAACACATTATTGTTTAAAGGAGCAGTATGTACAAATCTGGCCAAAAGTGGTACTGCAACCTCTCCCTGACTCAGGTTGCCAAATATGCAGACAAATCCAGCTGAGACCATAATATCTGAATGAAGAGTTTACTCAACAAGAAATCTATGAACAACCCTTTTTTTGCAAAGATAGAAATCCCCGTTTTATTCCTAGTTTTGTCGTTAAATAATTGAGAATTATAACGAGACCTTTTTTAGTTCTGCGGCCACATACTTTTCCAGTGAGATTAGCACGACACAGTAAATTCTTGCAACCCGGATCTTGGACTTTCTGATTTGTAAAACAGTGGAGGGCAGGACATTAAAATGAAAACAATAACAACATTTAGGGGCTGTTAAACTAATTTTAAAATCCAAATATCTTGGCTGAACTACTGTTATCAGTTAAAGAAGTATTTGAAAAGGGCATTTTTTATTTATGCCTTTTGACAGATTAGGGCCATTTAATTATGACTTGACTTGGAAATCTTAAATATTGGTACTTCAACATGTTTTCGTTGGTAAAACTTAAAGCAACACACAATTCAGTCGCTCGTCTTAATGAAAATCATATTTGTATTGCCACCTGTTGTTGTTGATAGGAGAAAGCAGATGTATAGAAAGATCAACAAATCAAAAAGTTACCAACAAATCTATGAAGTGCAAGTGTATTCTTAGAATCCGTTTTTATTGTCCAACTGTTTTACCTTGATTAAATTCTCAAAAGCTAAGCGTAACCGTCTCAGGCACTCTTTCATCCCAGCATCTTCTACTTTCAGCTCTAAAAACAGCAATTACA